TGGCAAGCCCACCAACATACCTTACATCCCTAGGAAAGTACTAATGTCTTGCTTTGGCATAGCCATTACTATTCTCATTAGTTCCGTAAGTGTCATTTTGGAATGGCAAATTTAACTCAATATTCTTTGGGACTTAGGGTTTCTATGTTGGTTGATTTAAGTGAACTAAATTAATCATTCAACATTCGAAATCCTAAACATGCATCTAATATTGCAATTATATATAAGCAAAATATACAGGGCATAAATAGAGATGCATTTGGCAACTAGCATAACCCCTTGAAACTTGAATCTTCAAATCTTCAAGGGCCTTCATTGCATCTTCTTGGCTTCGTCTTCTTAGAAACGCCGTCTTCGACACATCACCGCCAATCATGCAACTACTAGAAAAGCTAGGACTAATCTAAATAATTTAAGTACAAAATACTTAACGGCACGCAGTTCGTATTTAGATTAACATAAATACAAAACGGAATGCAGGCCGTATTTACTATCATAGTCGGGCCCCACTAGTTGCCATTTTGTAAAACCCCTATTAGAATATCTATTCCATTCATCAATTCACTTCTAAAGTGAATGGCTCATGCATTTCACAAAATAAATCAAGCAACAATTCAAAATGAGCGCAAAACTAATTACTAACTTAGGTGGTTAATCCAATTAACGCGACTAATTAAAACTAGTCAAAGATGTTATCCGATTATGTGAATTAATGCAATAATAGCTCAAGCGATTAATGAAGCTCCCACAAAATTCCACATCCAACTTAATTAAAGTTAATCCAATTAAAATTAATTAAGCCGATTAACCAAATTTTTTTCAAAATAATTGCAAGTACGTGAAAAACCGAGGCCTAGCCTCGTTTTGAACAACATTGCAAAATCGAAAGCCTAGACCAAATCCTAGCCTCCCAAGCCGAGGGTTGGGTGCTGCTAGGCTGCCTAGCCGAGCAGCCTTGATGGCACTCGAGTTGGGTGCTGCCTAGCAGCCCCAGCGCACTGCTAGCATGTGCTGGCCGCACATAGCACAGCTGCGCACAATTAAAAGAACTCTAACTTAATTAAATTCAATTTTAGTGCACAAACCAAAATTAATTCAAGAACTATTCTGTAAATTATTTTTGGCTCAACTTAATGCTACAAAAATTGAGGGTTATTCTCACAATTAATTTAACCAACATAAATTAATAATGAGATTTGAAAAACATAGTTGAATAAATAATCATTCATCCAATGAAAAAAAATTTATCCAACACTCACTTGTGCACATTTGAATATTGTAATCTTCCAATATGAAGAACAATAATATTTCAAGCATAAGTATGAACATTTAAGATTATAATCAACTCAAAATGATTAAAACCAAAAATTTGTTCATTATGGATTTTAGAAAGTTAAGATCTAACCAAATAAACAATTTAAAGATTGAACCTTTAACATTTTAGGGGCTT